GGGTCTATTTTTATTAAATAATAATTTAATTTTTATACTTTATAAATACATTTAGGGACCGTTTATTTTTCGGGGATGTAGATGCCCAGCATCTAGCGATGTCTGGAATTTCAGATGCCCAAAATTTCTCCATCTCTACCAATGATGAAATCAAAATGAGGTTTGTCCCTCTTGCGTCTGCTTGCTACTCCCGCTTTTTCTTCCTTGATCGTAGTTGGTTCTGCTTTCTCTTGCTGCTCAAGATGGTCGATTGCTGCTGTCGGCTACCTATGCCTGCCCGCTTCTTGCTCGACCATCTCTCTACGCTCTTTCGAATTCCTATTTTCATCTTTCATCCCATTAGAATCCAACAGAAAATGTTCGAACAGCTGCCTCTTCTCTTCTGGACTCTTCTCTGACATCACAAGTGTATATCATCAGATTGTCCGGTCTCTCCCTATGGCTTTTTAAGAAGCTAGACCCAATAAGAAGCCCAACATTTTCAGATAGTCGCGTGTGTGTAAGAAACTTAATAAAAAAAATCATTGTAAACTTAAAACTACATCGATTAAATTGTTACGTATTGAAGTTCAGAGACTAAATTATTACAAATTTAAAAGTATAGAGATTAAATTGCTACAAATTAAAATTTAGAGACTAAATTATTACTTCACTAAAAATATAGGATTAAAAGTGTTTTTACCCTTAATTTTAATAACAAAAAAATCTTAAACATTTTCATATCTTCATTTGTTTGAATTAATATTTCAATTATATCATAAATAAATAAACATGATATCCAAAAAAATAAATAAATAACTAATATCCACATTTTTTTAGACAACATCGACATATTAGTAATAGTAAAATTTTTAATTTGTTTCAAAATGTAAAATATTTATTTGTTAATTTAAATATTTTTATGAATATATTAATTTTTGTATGTTAAAAAGAATCATATGTATCGTATTTTATTAATAAATTTTCAAAAAATGAACACCCAACTATTTAAAACTTTATAAATTTAATATGTATTTAAAACGTTATAACTTAAAATATATATTTATTTTATGTTGTTCATGTAAATGCCTCTAGTTTAATTCTTATTACATTAGTTAAAAAAAAGGTAAAAAATAAATCCTAATTACATGAGTTTGGGTAGAATATATTTTAAAGTAAACTGAATATAATAAAGTGTCAAACGAATAATTAATTAATTAAAAATTATTCTATAATCAATTCTATTTTTAAAAGTAATTTGAATATTTTTCCCCCACGCGATTTGTGTTGTGTCAAGTGCAAACAAACAATTAATTACGATGAAATAAAAAAATTGGTTGAACATATGGATTTTTTGGTGTTTAGTTCTGCATAGAACAATCTTTACAAATTATTTTATTAATATGTTTTAAAAGTAATTAAACATTTTTTAAATTTTATTTATGGATATACTTGAAAATAATTTGATTTTTTTTCCCTCTAATTTACCCCAAAGTTGAAGTGTGGAATAATTAATTGTGTATTTATAAGAAAAATGATTGTATTAAAAAAAATGAAGAAGTTGTTGATGCTGTATTTCGACCAAGGTGATACGTCGGCATAAGTCAAAGTGAACTCTATTGGTGAGGTGTTCGGCCGTATAATCAAATGTTTAAGTAAGTACTTAATTCAAAATAATGTTGAGTCGAGCTTAGTAAAATATGTAGAGATCTCACACCTTTGGAAAGGTGGAACTCTACTTTCGTAAATGAAGCATTGAAAAACGTCGCTATGCTATTACGACATTCGTATGAATCATCCAATTGATCTTGTACCAACTGTCAGTAGATTAATTATGTGATATTTGGTACTTGTCATGGATCATCTACTTACATAATCTTCGTCCCAAGTCGAAACCGAGCTGAGCTCCGCATTATGCATATTTGATTAGTTCTTCTTGGTTATTAGCGTGTTCGAGCATGTCCCTAGACAAGGCCATGTGTATACTTTATGTTTCACCCATAACAAAAATCATTGCATAAAAAATTATTTTAAAAATATTAGTATTGTTTTAATTATTTTAATTGAGAAGATTACTATCGTTTTCAAAGAAAAAACCATTATGATTTCGTACCCAAAAACACCATTATGATTTACAATGGCTTTGGCATATTTTTAATTTTTTTCGATAAATCTACTTTAAAGAAATGTAATTTGAATATTTTTATTTTAGTTATTATATATTTATTCCTACCATTATAGATGTTTGCTTATAGTTTATTATAAAGTTAGTTGCAATTTAATAAAAGAAATTGAAATTTTGATTACATTTATTATATTGAAAATAAAAATTTTATTCTTAAGAAGTTGAAATAGTCTTTAAACACCCTCCCTAAACATTATATTCCATTTTGTAATTTAAACTGCATATAAAAACGGTTCTTATATATATAGAATAAATAAATGTCAACATAAGTGTAGTTCAAAGTTAATTAGATTTGAGTTCAAATCCATATTTGAGTTGGAATCCTCTCATCACCACTTGTTGTACTAAAATTTTTTATATATATATGTATATGTATATATATAAATTTCTCCCTCTAATTCAAATATATCTATTATTTTAAGTTAAATACTATTTTCATTCAAATACTTTTGATTTTTATTCCTTTGAGTCAATATACTTTTAGAATATTCATTTTATTATTATATTTTAAACCTTTTTAATCTTCTCTCAATTATTTCAATCATAATTTTAACATGATATTTTACTCGTTATTAAAATGAAGTACGGAATTTGAATTAAAAGGTTTGTATAAAAATTTGTGCTAAAATTTTGCAAATAAAAAATAAATTGGTTACTTTTGAAAAGTACAAGAATTAAAAAAATGATTTGGAAGTATAACGACTAAAATGAATAAAAGTTAAAGTTACACTCAAATGAAATTTTGAAATTACAATAATAAAAAATAAATAAAATTAAAATAGTATTTAAACACATTTTATTTATAATATAATATTGAAGGAAAAAAAAACCATTTTTGGTGCCGTTGTCTTTTGAAATTCTATGTCTGACAGAATTTCAAATCCATAGAATTGGTTTTAGTCTTTTTATTTTTATTTTTTATTATTATTTTTGACAGATAGAATTCATTTTAGTCAACTTTAATAAATAAGAATTTGGAACCATTGTGTTTTTAAATTGAAGGCCATTCATTTCGTTTAGTGGGGCTGGTAAAAAAGGTTATTCCATAGGCACCTTTTTACTTTTACCTTTTCAACCTTCCTAATTGGTAATTTAAGTATAACAAAAATTTATTCTTTATAATTTTAATTTTTAATTAAACCATGATTATTTAGATTTTAATTTAATCATCATGATTCTAAAAAAAAATTATTTAAACAACTTTGTCATTACCATTTACCATATTGATTAAAGAAATATATGTGACAATAAATTGATGTTTTCTATTTAACTAACTATGTTAGTCAATTGTAATAATGCTTTAATTCGAATTAAAATTTTTTTTGAAGGAAATTGGAAAATTTATTAGATTGTAATACACAATTTGAGGACGATATGCATGTGAAGCTTCACCAAACTACATGGATCAAATTGAAACTGACACTAAATTTGGAATGACCAACTTTATAATTTGATAAATAAATAAAACAATTTTCTCAACCTTTTTTTTCTAATATAAAAGTTTTTTCGTCTCGTTAATAATTGGTTGGTTTAAATACTATTTTTATCTTTATACTTATGACATTCCTTCAATTTAATCATTATACTTTAAAAACGTTCATTTTGGTTTTAAACTTTCAACTTCTGTTATTTTAGTCTTTGTATCTTGAAAACGTCCATTTTGGTCCGTGTATAGTGACTAATTTAGTAATTATTTATTATATTTCAACACAAGTGGCTACATTCAATAAATTAAGTAGGTGAAGTATCGTGTTAAAATTATGATCAAAATAAAAAATATAGGAAGGAAAATGAATCGACCCTGAATCGAAATAGATGTTTCGAATGTATTTGAACTAAAACAAATATAAGTTAAAAATAAAGAGACCAAAATATACTTCGAGACTAATACAATGTTTAAACCTAAATTGTTATCAAAATCAAATTGAACAAAAAGAGGCAGAGGCAGAGCATTTAGGTTGATGGTCACAGCAAATGAACAGGTAACTGAAAAAGTTGACACACCATTGAATATTTGATGTGTCCATGCGCTTCATCCATCCCCTATTTATATACTCACGAAAATAAATATTATTTTTATATACGTACTTTTCAATTTTAGTTCGTTTTAATCTCTATAATTTCAAAACGTTTGTTTTCGTCTCTATATTTTTTTATTAGTGATCATTTTAGTTAAAATTTAACGTAAAATTTACTACAAATTTATGACTACATTTCAAAAAGTGACGTGAAATGAAGTTTCATGTTAAAATTGTAATCGAAATAAATGAGATAAAAATAAAAATTAATCTATCAAAATAGTCTAAAAATATAAAAACTAAAATAGACGTGTCGAAATAACGTAGATTAAAAAAACGTTTAAAATAATAACAAACGTAGGGAAAAAATAAAGTGAAATAGAAGGTGGGATATTTGAGTGCTTTTTCACCTCACAGTGAAATAGGGAGGGAAAATAAAGAAAAAGTATTTGGAAACCGCTTACAAAATCAGCACAGAGCACTGCGCACCTCTTTATTTATTTATTTATTTTCTTTTTTTGGGTTAAAGGTTAATCATGTCTTTTCCATGACCTCCATATACTGAGAGTGACGTGGCCAATGGACATGGCAGTGGAAATTAAACTGCCGGTACCAAAGGACCGATCCAGAAATCTGATAAGAATCAAGCTTTCTATTTTTCAATAAATATATAATTGACCTATATCTATTTTTCAATAATTGACGTATATTTATTCGATTCAATTTCCATCCTACATGTAAAAAATAATAAAAAAATTGAATTAAATAATTTATTTATTAAAAATAAAGAAAACCATATTTGACGATTGGTTTTTATTTTTCTGTTGTCTCAAATTTTTAAATTAAAAAAGTAATCTTTTATATGAAAGACGGTTTTCTTATGATTAATATTGAATTGTTATTTTATTTTTTTTCATTTTCTATTATACATTTGATAAGATAATAGTGATAAAACAATATTTTAATTTATGTTTTTGTAAAGAATTAGAAAAGGGAACAAGAAACAAGATTGTTGCTTAAAAAATTTTACATAATTCTAGAAATCTTTATAAAAAAAATAACGAACTTGAATAGTTATTAGAGGCTTATGTTTATTTTTTTTATAATTAGAAGTAAGTGCTCTCTTATACTCGAGGAGCAGACTTGAACATATCAAGAAATTTTTTGTATTAAACTCGCTCGAAGATAAATACTTATGTTTCTAAAAACTGAGAATGAGAAATAAGAAATAAAAATTAAAATGTTACTAACTTGATCATCTAAGTTAAACGCGTGTCAATTTTACTATCTCCCTTCATTATTTGTCTTATCAATAACGTTCTTATTTAAGAATGGTATACAATTAGTTGTGGGGGATAGAACCAACTTGTCACATGGCAAGCGTTTGAGAGATGGGCCATATCAGCCTCACCAGACCTCTCGAAAAAGGCAGGTCTTGTATGCTACCAATCATGCCAGCACATCCCACCATCAACACATCCTAATAGTGTGATTGACTTAGCATAGTCATCATCGTCACTAGGTTGGTCGTTCCACTATGAGAATCTCAGAGCCATTTCCCATGTTTGATTGCTAGATACAATCGAACAGAAGACCACCACACTCTGGTATGTTAGAATTCCTTCTGAATACGTGTAACAGACATCAAATTTCATTACTAACATAGGCATCAGAATATTATCTCTGTTTTACAGGGCATTCACGTTTTAAAAGGGATAAATCATTTAGTGTAAACAAAATCTACGCATTACCACAATCTACAGAATAAAATAATAAAGTACACATATTAAATTATCAACGGAAATAATAGTTACTTTGATAATAGTATAAATTTTTTTTGGAAGACGTGGGCGCGGCGGTAAATGTAAGAAAAAGTAATCCATTTGTCATATTTTATATGTCACAAGTTTCAATTCAAAAGCTGTGCCTGTCGTCTATTTCTGTTATCCCCATTCTACCCTTTCTTTTTCCGTGTACGAGAACAAAAGCTGCGGCCGACTTCCCTTGCCCTGCCACCCTCTACCCCCCACTGTCCAAATTGATACTTTTCATTCAAAACCTAATTGCCTGCCCCATCAATATGACTAATAAATAATTATTTATTATATCAAAGAAGAAATAGGTACGATGAAAGTATTAAATAATTTACTTTATAATTATGATAGTTTTAAGTTAAATTACGAAATTTACCCCCTAACATTTAAACTTAACTTCAATTTTTTTTTTTGACACTAGCTTGTATGGTTTATAAGTTTCAATTTGATCCGTATAATTTTGTTAAACTCCACTAACCTTCTCAAAAACCACTCATCTCGCTCAAGTTTGATTGGATACTAAATTGAAACTAATTCTAAATTATAAAAAATCATATCATCGATTGTAAAACTATGAAAATCAAATTGAAAAAATCTCAAATCATAGAGACTAAATTCACTTCACAATTTAACACAATTTTTTATTCTATCACGTCTATAATAATAGACCCAATATAATTAACTTGATAAATATGATTTTCAATCAAATCGTGTGTACTAAATACCATTCTTTAATAAATCATGTGTACTCGACACAGTTTGCTTGAAACTGGACTCTTCTAGACTCTAACCTATTTTTTGTAGTTAATTTTTAAATGACCCAATTATTCCAACTTTTTTTCCCTCTACAAATACTTAAAAGAAATAACGGGTTTTAGTCCAGATCTTTAGTATATAATTATTTAGCCCTTGTACCTTCAAATTGGTAGCAATTTAATAATCGAACTTAGTAGGTAACAACTTAGTCCTTACCATAAAAAATCTCATAAAAATCCAATCTCGAAGTTTATTATGTAACCATTTAAATTTTATAGTTTATAAACACATTCGGTCTCTCATATAGATATATAAGATATCTCATTAAATCTTAAAAGCATTTACCATAGGAACTAAATCATTACAAATTAAAAAAAAAAGGACTAAATCGTTACATACTAAAGTTCAAGAACTAAATTATTACAAACTAAAGTTTAGGAACTATGGTAGCGGGAGTAGAAGAACCTTTTTCAACCTATAAAACAAAATCCAAACCTTTGGAGTTGAGAGAGGCAATGTGAATATTACAGGGAGGTAAAAGGTATTTTACACTGATCAGATCAGAATTACTTACCCCAGAGGGGCAAAAAGCAACCTTAATTTTTGAAATGTGAACACCACAGGAACTGCATTTTTGGTTAAAAAGGTTTTGCTGCTGCTTCGATCATCTTCTTCACTCTGGTCAGTTTTTCTATCTCCTTGAGAGCCTAAATCACACCCAAACACAATGAATCATCTCATCCACTGCAACTTACGATTAGGGGCGGAGTTAAGATTTTAAAATTCTCTTTCTACCAGTGCCTAGTATAACTTGCTCACACACAAGTCTAAAAGAGCAAAGCTGCTTTACTGAGTCTATGAAGGGAAGGGGCCGAGAGTCCGACCCTATCAGAAGAGGACTCGTTCTCTTAACTGAGGTCTCTGTCTAAATCGTCTAAAGAAAATTTATAGCTCCACTCCCCTATCATTGATGTAAAATTTTAAAATTTTCTCCCTATAGCTCCCCTATTATTGGTGTAGACACCTAATAAATATGGTAAAAGGATTCACACCTCTAAAGCCATGTCTTCGGTTGTGACAGCATTGAGATCGTCGTATCCAGATTTACTTGCTAGCTCTGTGAGGCATGGAGGTGTTAGAAGCCAGAAGAAGCACGAAAGTGTGGAATATTCCAAGTGCGGTAAGGATCAGAATCACATACTTTGGAGTGATATTGAAGCATCAGCCGTGGCATAGCCATCTTTCATTTCTTGGTAGAGGGAAGTTATTTGACCCAGCACCTGTATTGTACACAAAAATAGCCAAATGAATGAAGGATATCTATGGATTTGTACCGACAAAGGCGAGACTTAAAACCCAATAGAAAATTTTGGACTTGTTTTGGAAGATTGTTTTCGTGATAGTTTGTTAAATTAGAAGCATTTAATAAATCCCAAAACTTTCAATTTCGTATTTAATAGAGTCCTAAAGTTCTAATTTTGTGCCTAATAGATCCTTGAACTTGAAAAAGTGTAAATAAGTATGAATATATAATTGAAAGTTGATAGACCAATTAAATATAAAACTGAAATTCAAGTAAAAACACTTAATTTAGAGCCCTAATAGTTACAATATTGTTTTAAAAACTTATTATGTACTTTTTTAGAAGTCTACTAAACATAACTTTGAAAATTGACCAAAGCCAAACTCATAATCTAACCTAATAGTTCTCTAGATTTTAGAACAATTAATTTCTGAAGACGTGTTTGTTGAAAATTGTTTTTATGGATGACCTTATGTTTAGAAAAAGTAAAATTATTCTTTGATTTTGAAAATAGCAATTTCAAGTGCAAAATAACTCTGACCTTAGAAAACAACAACGCTATAGTTCATAAAAGTGGAGTTAAAAAAGAATAGAGTTAAAAAACGGTTCAAAACTATTTTGAGAACCACTTTCAAGTTCAAACAACCCCTTTTAATACCTCAGAATAAGATCCAAAAGTAGATATATCAAATGCAGGAAGTTGGCTATGATCTTCTGCAAATTCCTCTGCTATCATCTGTAGTGGTAAATCAATCCATAGTGTTATGCCATGCCTCAAAAGCGCCCTGCATGTAAAATGTTTAGCAAAGAACAACGTGAGCATAACAAAATCAAAAATTGCTTTAAGTAAATACAAGTAACAATTTCATGAAAAATGTGGGCACTAAACCAGGAAAAATTAAGCATTGAACATTCATACAAATTAGTAGAGCTCTGAACAGCACCATTTCCAGCACATACGACTAGTCGACCCATAGAAGATAATTGTTTTAACACTTCAGTCTGCAACAAAATGGCATGTCAGGTAGTTGTGACTATATTTTATAGAGCATTTAACAAGAGATATCTTGTTAAGGACATTCAGTAAGAGTCCTTAGGTACAAAAGCTTCAGTATTTTCTCGGGCACAATCACTAATAAGTAAAAACTCAGTCACCCCGAAACCGACAATGACAAATCTAAAAAATGGAGTTCAAAAAGATGCTACTGAACTACCAGTTTCAACCACATAACTTCCGAGAAGATGCAACAAAACATAACCTATAAACATGAGATAATTACCTCAGACGCCCGAAAACCATTTTCATCACTCTCCTTATAAAGTTTGGCAGCAGCTGCACCACCACTAGCTTCCACAACTAAACTATCACTATATGCATTTTGTATGTGACATAGAAATTCAGAATTAGCAATGCTAGTAAGGAAAAAATTACCAGAAACCAAAAAGGAAAAAGCATCTAGATAAGTACCTGTCAAAGTAGTAGTATCTCAATACATCAGCCAAGAGTCTTCCCAACTTAGTTTTTTGGGAGCTGTTGATCCCTTCACATGGGAACTTATCATACATTAATTTGATATAAACCTAAATTGCGCCAAAAACTGAAGATTATTTCTTACCCACGAGAAAGATGGAAGTTCCTTTCAGTTCAGGAGCTACATCCATGGCTTTCTTCTGAATTCAAACTGAACAGTGTAAATAAACACTTCAAGCCACAAGAAAACTGAAGCCAAATAAAACTAATCTCAATGCACATCACGACACAAGACTAAAATAGAGCAAAAAAAAAGAAGTACAAAAGGATTCTCTGAGCCTTGCTAATTATATGATAAAAACTTATGTTAATTCTATTCTTTCAGTTCACCATAAAATGGAAACTTGAGGCTAGAGAAACAACATCTAACCTGCACTTCAAGAGACAGATCATCGACAGTGACCTTCGCCTCCACATCTAACAAAGGCCAAGACAAATCACTGAGTAAAGAGAGATGAAACTGAAACTAGACAATTCATCCTTTAGGTTTAGAATTAGATATCGATTTAACTCCACCCTCCAACTAAAGGCAAACACGTTTCACTGAGTTAATTACACAAATTTGTTGCAGAGCCTTATCCAGATTAAACTGCCTGATGTTCTGTTTCATCGGCCAATCACGATTTCTAGCAATACAATTCAAAGTGACTTACAAGAAAATGGTACTCATAACCTTTGAATCCAATTCAAAGTGAAGTTACCATTGGACTGCACATCATCCATAAACCAAGCAACTGGACCAATATTCATCAGAGAAAAACCAACCGCTACTTTTACGAATTCAACTTAATAAAACGAAGATGTACAAAAACGACGGGAAAATTGAAGTCATTGTGCATCGAAAGAAAACCCAAAGCAGCAAAAAATAAAAAATGAAGCATAAACAGATTACGAAGTTTCTCTACGGGGAAAAATGGATTCCGAAATAGAACTCACTGAGTGCAGCTCCGTCTGATGCTAAGCAAGTCGATGGCAGAGATCTCCAGCGCTGAATGGCGGAAGAGTGCAGAAATCGTCCAGAAACATGAAGTGGGAGAATATGTTTACGATGAACAGAAGATGGCAGGGGCAAGGAGCAGCTCAAATTGAGAGCCATTGCATGAATTTTTGGCGAGCGGATACTGAATTGGAGATCAGGTCGAGAAGAAGAAACGGTGTTTTTCATCGCCATGATAAAGCTCGCTCGGGAGTCGCTTCCAGAGTAAGCGCTTCCAGAGTAGGCGCTTTATCCTTCATTCCCAGTGTGTGTTATCAGATTTTTTTTTCCTTCCTAAGTGGTGACATTTAGCAAAGAGATAAAACTGATATTATAAATTTTCTTTTTTTTTTTTTTTTTTGAAACACTGCTGTTATAAAATTCCAAAATGATTTTAAAGTGGTTTTTAAGTATTAATTGGTACGTAATTTTTGTTTAGGTGATTTACTTTTAATTATATTAAAGTCACTTCCAATCAAGTAATTTTGAAAAAATAAATTTAAATATAATTAATTTTTCAAAATCATTGTACAAATGATATCTTAAAAATCAATTTAAAGTTATTTTAAATTTTTCTAAAATAACTTTTAATATCTTTTTGAAAAATTTTAAAGTATAGTTTACAAAATCTCAACTCGGAGGCATGTTTGGAAGTGGTAATAGCAAGAGTAGTTTTTAAAAAAGAGATTATTGATTTTGTAAAAGTAAATGTACGTGTGATTTTAGAAAAATAGATTTAATTATAATTGATTTTGAATTTTGAAAAAATAAAAATAGTCATTTGTAAACTTTAAAAAGCATGTCAAAACAAATATACTATTTTTAATATGAATCTATAATATATAAAAGGGGCAACAGGAGAAATTTTGAGAAATATTTTCTTACATTTTGCCCCTTCAATTTAAGGTTTTCTTTATTGTTTTGATGGCATTTTTGTCATTCAACTCTTTCCCTCCCAAATCCCACCTATTTCTCTTCCCAAATCTCTTCAAATTCCCACTAATTCGCTCATTCCTTTCTCTCACCCTCACTCTCCACTCCACCCCCCTCCCTCTCTTCTACTTTTTATATTTTTATTTATTTATTTTTTGTCTTTTTAGTTCCTTTATTTAAGTTAGAATGAAGAAAAATATAAGGAATATAATGTGAAATGTTTTAATAAAACTTTTGTCAATTTATTTCCAAAATTAATGACTTTAACTTTAATTATATAATTAATAATGGAATTTCAAAAATTTTAATGTTTTAATGGTTAAATAATATTTTAAAAATAAAAAGTATAAAAATATATATTAAAATACAGAATTAGATTTGTCTTTTCTATGTAACTTCATTATTCTTCTCTCACCCACCCCTCTAAATTCTTCTATTCTCTTCACTTTACCACCCCTCTAAATTCTTCCATTATTCTCTCTATCTATTTATGCACTCTCATTATTTATCATGGTCCAATTATCCAAGTTCTCCTCCTCTCTCTAATCCTTTCATCTTCCTCTTAGGCTTTGGAGGTTTGAAACTCAAATCTTTATCAAATGTTAGAAGTGGGTGGAGCAAAATGTGTACCAATGGATAAAATAGAGGTACCTTACATTGTCATTTCTTCAAATTTCTTTATTATTGAAATCGTAATTGGAGAGAGAGAAATTGAAAATATATTGGTTGCGGATTCATTTAATTGAAAGTATATAAAATTAAAATTGAAAAGGGATTTTTTTCTGTCCTTGATTTATTTAAAAAATAAGGTTGAATTTTTTCTTCAGATTTTGTAGGATATTTTACTTGCCACCGTTAAAGGTCACCGCTGCGTCCATTGAAGTTGTTGTTGTTGAGTCTAGAGTCTAGACCATGATTTTATTTTTCCTTGGTATTTGATAGCATTTTATATTTAGGGTTATTTTAGTTTTTTAAGTGGCATAATAAATAGACAAAAATATGTATAATAAAATTCGTGATTTATGGATATTCTTAGTTATTTCACGCTACAAAATTCCAATTTTTACATTCTATTGCATACGTGATGACAGCTTGTCAAAGTTGAAATTCATTTTAATATTGTATTTTGTTTATAAAGATTTTTGATGTATTTTATTTTAAAATTTATCATTTTAAAATCAGTTTACTTTTTATTTTTATATTTAATTAAATTATTTTGAAGCTTTTTATCAAAATAATAATAATAACAATAATTTCGAAGCTTTACCGTTGTCCTATTTCTATAAGTAGTGGAGGTGAGTTTTTTTAGGAATATTTATGTTTTCTTTTTATAATAACACATCATTATTCATGTTACATTAGGAAAAACCAAAACATTATGGTCTTGAAAATTAAATAACATTGATCTTTTAAGAAACTTACGAAATCTTCTCTCTTCTTGGTGAAATTTATCTAAATGGTCTGAATTTGATCCTTCTATATAAATATACTATAAAATGTTCCTTTAAACAAGACTATAAATTAAAGTAATAGCATTAAATATTGTCAATAATGGGTACTGTATTATTTTAATAGTAAATTTTACTTTTTCTTCTAAACAAACAAAGTAAAATTTACCTTCTAATTTAATTTTAAATTTCAAAAAACTCAAAAAAACCATAAAATTTAATAAGATAAATAAGGTCGTTTAAATTAAAACTCATAACCTTCCAAATTTCTAATAATAAAGATATGATAAAATTTTGAATTTAAAAAAGATTTGTCCATTTCTATCCTAAAAACGTGTTAAATTATTTATTCTTGCTCGCTGTATTTTTTAATTAATGAAATATATCAACCAATCATTATTGATAAGATTTATTGTGCACCTCTTGCCGAACTAAGGAAAGTGGTTTTAACCACATGAAATTACTTTCAAACACATCTTTACCGGCCATGTCAATCAATAACTAAAATAGTCCAATAGACTGAAGAAAGGAACATAATAAATATATTTACTAATTCAAATATTTAATTGTTTCACACTGACAAGTCCACGTAGTATTACTGAAAAAAAAGAATAAAATAAAAGGGAAGAAATTGCATAAAATAAAATAAAAAACGGTAAAAAAAAAAAAGGAGAGTGAGGTTTGAATTCAAGAGGCTTTGGCCAGGAGCTTCTGATTGTGGGAAGAGTCGTCAAGATCATTATTAATATTATTATTATTAGAAAAATTGGAGTGGTGACGTCGTGAAGCATTCAAAAAGTTCCTCACTCCACCTGATTTGCCTCGCTGTAATGCTTTCATTATCCTTTTTCCTCTTCGATCTTTCTTCCCCCTTTCACTCTCTGTTCCCTGTCAACCAACAACATCAAATTAAAATTAACATTAAAAAATATAATCAAAATTATCAGTAGATTAAAAAACGACCATTCATCGACACGAGTACATAACAAAAGTGAGAATATAGAATATGAGTAAATAGCTGTCAATTTTCCAATGATGATAATTAAAAAATAAATTTATACACGATGATAATATTTTAATACAAAGCTACGTCGGTGTTTAAAAAAAAAACTTGAAGGTAAGTAGTGTTGTTTTGGAAATTAGAATGAAAAAGAAAATGAGAATCCAAAATATTTCATATACTAATAAAATCAAGAAGTTTAATTTGTTAGTACCTTATCTGGATCGTTCTGCCACTTGCACTGATCTCCCTCACAATTATCTGTGCAAGACAAAACCAATGGCTTATAAATAAAATAAAATTAAATTAAAAAATAACAGCATTTCTTATATATCTAAAAAATCGAGAATAAAATATGTGATTGTATCCAGTAAAATTTCGTGTTTAATTTAGTATTCATTCCAATTTTATTTTGGTGGGTCAATTTTGATCTTTATCTTATTTTCATCCCGAGATTTTTCTTTAAATATTGAAATACTGGTCACTTTTTAAAATTATTGAACTAAAATGAACGTTTTGAGAACACATCGACTAAAATAAACAAAAGTTGAAAGTATACTGTCAAACACCCAACATGTAAATAGAATAAGTTAAAAAAAAAACCAGAAATAACTTTTGAAAATTGGCTACCACCGAATATTAAAATGGGTTGATAATAATGACATTCATTCCGTCGTTTAAAATGAAGATGGTAAAACATAAAGACTAAATTAGAAAATTAAACACACCTTCGGTACTTCTGATGCTGGTGGATATGGAGTCAGAGTCGATACAATATTCCCGAAAACTCGGCGATGCTCCTCGGCAAATCCCGCGGTCGTCGTCGTCTTGTTCATCGTCGCTATAATGATGATCATGAAACTTGGTATTGTTATTATTATTTGCAGAATGTTGTTGTTCCTTGTGATTGGCGGCATTGTTATTATCTGTGACGATGTTGATGTCGGAATGTGGCGGGCTGTTGGTTTCACCGGTGAAGCAAATGCTGGTCCGATTGGGGGTAGCGCGTGGGAGAGCTCCGGCTGCCTCCTTAGGGTCGTCCAATTTGGAGATGCCACAACCCATCGAGAGGAGCCGAAGGACGACGACGGAGTTGCGACGACGGAGAAATGGAATGGAGCACCCGAGTTTTGTCTGTGTCCATTCGAGATTCAAAAATCAAACATACAAAACAAAACAAATGAGAGAGAAATAAGGGTCAAAAAATGATCCACTCAAATTGAGAGGTTCATGGAAGCTCGTCAACTTTTGCCGTTTTAAGTTAGTTAAAGCCGTTGATATCAGATTGACGTTGACCCCCCTCTCTCTCTGTTCATTCTTCAAATCCGACGTGTCATATGTTTGAAAAACTCGATGAAATTCAATCTAACTCAACCTATACGGTTTTTATTTATTGATTGATTATTTTAAATTTAGTTCAAATAAATGAAAACCTGTGAATCTGGTTTAGCGGGCTAGAATAAAGTTGAGTTAATTAAACTTAAACCAATTGATGTTCTTATTAATTTGAAAATCTTTTTTTAGATACTTGATTCATTAAATTATTTTGAATTGAATAAATTTACAACTTAAACAACTGGTATATTATGGGGTGGGTTGTGTGTGGGGATTTGAACGAGATAAATCTATATGATAAATGTAAAATATATCCGACTATTGAGTTCCTATAACTACCAAAATGGTACTTAGTTGTAGATATATATTATATCCGCATGTTCGAGATTAGGGGACAACTCGAACAGTCGATGGGCGACCAACGATGAAGAAGAAGCTACGGTTTGCTATGGACTTCCGATCGATGACCAAACCTCGTGATAAATGGGAGGAAACAATGGACTGACGACCGAAGACGAAGGAGAAGCTAGAACGGTGTGCTCTGACGACGAAGAAGAAGTTTGAATGGACAGAAACAATGGTGGAAGGAACGATTTGTGGAAGGAAACCAGACAGAAGAAGAAAGGTTGGAGGAGGTTTTCAAAAATTTGAAATAATGGAAGATTTTATGGATTTGGGTAGTATTTTGGAATTTGGTAATTTTTATTTTTGGAAAGAATAATTAGACAAAAATTAAGGGATTTAAAATGTAACCTTCCAAATAATCAATTTTGGATTTCAAAAAATAATTAATATTTAGGTGTAGGTATATAATAGTAAATTTGTGTGGGTAAGATGTTACTTCACGCCAAATTTTGTACATTGAATTCTTTTATGTAATTATAGGCTCTAAATATCCTATCAATCTATTAATCCCAATATTTTATCTAAATAGTGATAGTTCCTGTACCTCTCAAAACGGTGGCATTTTCTTAGCCCAAACCCAAAGCCCTCCTCTAGTGGCCCAGCCCACCACTCCTAGCCCTCCCCAAAAGGTCCAGTTCACCTCTCTTCGCCCAGCACTTCGGATTTTTTTCTTTTTCATTCAAAAAAATAATACAAGCTAGTCCAATAATTCTCAATTTGGTAATTAATTTCTCAAAATTCTCAATTTGGTTGATTTTAGTCTACATAATTCTAACTTTAGTTTATTTTAGAACCGTATTTTTAAAATGTTCGTTTCGATACTTATACTTTTAAACGTCAATAAGAAAGTCTTAATTCACATTTAAAATTGCATAAAAAAGCTAAAGTAACTATTTTTGTACTTGTTTGCACAATTTTAACACAAATTTCATACATAATAAAAAACTATTTATTATCACTATTTTTTTCTCAAAGAAGCATATTAAATCCTAGGTAGATAGTCAAGCATGAATTTTGGACCTTTATTTATTATTATTATTATTTTTTGTAAACACTTGACCTTTATCGATCATTAGCCAACCCACAATAAAAATCTTTTAAAATAAAATTATGATTATATTTCAATAAATATATTAAATTTAATATTGTTTAAAAATTAAGATTAAAAAAATTAGATAAAAGGAAGGAAACAAAAAGATAACTTTTTCAAAGTTGAATAATCAAATTGAATATTTAAAAAGTACGTAAATTAAAATAGACCGTAAAAAAAGGGTTAAAAATACTGCATCTAAAATAAATACGTAAACAAACACGGTAAAAATACAGGACTAAATGGTATTTTAGCATTTGAACAAACTGAAAGATTATAGTCTTCCGAAAAAAAAAAAAACTGAAAGATTATATTTAAGCATTATTTTTTCTCCACTCCAATGTTGAGGTTGAGGCAGTGTTGATATTTCTGTTTCCTCTGCCATCGTGTCCCAATATCTTACACGTTGCCAGCGTCCAGCGGGGCCCTCCTCTTCCAAATCTGACCCTCTTTCTCTCTCTCTCACTCTGTTCTGTTTCTGCTCTCATCCTTCGCAGTTGGCTTCATCGCTCTTCGTTTCTTCGCCTCTCTCTCTCTCTGGTACGTAGTTCTCTGCTATCATCTCTCTCTCTCTAACGCTCTACTCTCCACTGCCATCTCTTCACAGCAGCCAACGGTTTTGTTTGTTGTCCAGGTATCTCGCTGACGATCATCAACAACTCTCAACTCCTAGGGCTCGGATCGCAACGGTTGGATCTTCTCCGACTTCGCCAAAATGAATGACGCAGATGTTTCCAAGCAGATCCAGCAGATGGTGAGGTTCATCCGCCAGGAAGCCGAGGAAAAGGCCAACGAGATCTCCGTCTCCGCCGAAGAAGTATGTCTCTCTATCTTCTCACTATTTCCTTTGATTTCTACTCGTTTCCGCTTCTGGATGCCCGATTTTACTGGATATATGTCTTGATTGTTCATATGTATTGGTTGCTGGCTGGCTGGGCTGTATATGAGTTTGTCTACATTGACTATTGCACGGAATCCAATGGCTATTTTTTTTTATTCTCTTGCAGGAATTCAATATTGAAAAGCTGCAGCTGGTCGAGGCAGAGAAAAAGAAGATCAGGCAGGAGTACGAGAAGAAGGAGAAGCAAGTTGAAATTCGGAAGAAGATGTATTTATCTGGCTTTTTCCTCCCCGATTCACTAATTACAGTTTCATTCTCCGTGCTTTTTGCTGGATGGATCTTTTTTTCTCTCTTTCTGCCTTTTGTCATAATCCGAAAAGGCTGTAATTGTGGAATGACATCTTCATGTATTTGATGCTTTGTTCCAGCGAGTACTCCATGCAGCTCAATGCTTCACGGATCAAAGTTCTGCAAGCTCAGGATGATGTAGTGAACTCTATGAAAGAGGCAGCATCAAAGGAACTTTTGAATGTAAGCCAAAATGAACATGTCTACAAAAATCTTTTGAAAGATCTTATCGTTCAGGTTAGTAAATTCCAAATCTTATCCACGTTATAGCACTACTCATTATTTGATTCAGTTAACTTAAGAGTCATAGAATTTGCTGTGTGTGTGAATGTTTGCTGGTTCTTCTAGTTGTATGTTTATTACACTTGAGAGTTCGTCGTCAGAGCTACTCATTATTTATTATTTATGAGGTTATAAGTTTGCACAAGAGTAGAAGATTTGTGCTGGAAGATAAGAAACTTAATATTGAAAACAAATTTCTGTTTCACATAACTCTGACTGGATAAATTTTTCTATCTCTAGAACGTCAAATTGAATCACATATAATCCTAATGATGACGATTGAGTTTTCTTTTCTCAATATCTTTGTTGAGGGTTGCTACTTAGAATGTATTGTGGAGGTTGATCTTCCTGTTAAGATCTTGGTTAGTACGGTTACTAACGAATAAAATATGCTGATGGATATACTAGTTGTGTTATGCGCTGTCTCATGTTTGTTTCTTATTTATAGAGCTTGCTTCGACTGAAAGAGCCAGCTGTTTTATTGCGATGCCGGAAAGGCGACCTCCATTTGGTGGAGGCTGTCCTGGGATCAGCGGCAGTTGAATATGCACAGAAAGCTAAAGTTCATGAACCAGAGATTATTATTGACCATGTCCATCTTCCATCTGGTCCAAGCCATCACAATCCTCATGGTCTTTCTTGGTAATCTTTCCTTTTCACTTTTTCGGGATCTTACTTCTTACAAACTTCCTGCTTCTGAAAACTTGGTCAGTGATTAGTATGGTGTCTTTCTATATACACTTTTATGATTTTGTTTCAGCATTCTCGAAATTGTGTTAGAGATTGCAAGGTAACTTTTGCAGGCGTTTCCTGCCAGGGGTTTTATTTGTCAATGTGATAACCAATTACTCCTGTAGTTTGTTAAAATTTGCAGATTGTACACACTTGTTTAGACAGTATATGTAAACAGCACATGTTTTCGTTTCAAAATCTGTGAATTAAACCATTCTAATAAATCTTACCATTACTTTTAACAGCAAAGGTACACGTTGTCATATTCTATGTATGCCCATGTATACTAATTCTGTTAAAAACTGACAGTCTTATTCTATAGAAAGATTCAATTTGCAGATTTTTCAAACTACAAGGGTGTTTAAAATAATTGTTAAAATATAAGGATACGATGTATGAAATATGGCAAGAGTATAATTTATATTTTTCCAAAAGCCTTGCATCATAAGGTTTTTGCCTTTTGGTCACCCGTTTTCTTTTGAAGAATCAAGGATGCATCTATGAACACTTCTAGTTCTAATATTCAAATTTGATCATTCAGCTCTGGAGGTGTAGTATTGGCATCTCGAGATGGGAAGATTGTCTGTGAGAATACCCTTGATGCTAGGTTGGATGTTGTATTCCGTAAAAAACTTCCGGAGGTACTTTCTCCTCTCAACTATACTCTATTGTCTATTAGTGGGTGCTTATTAGTTATTACATAACCAAATGCTACTGGATATCTCGAATACTCTTTTTTCATGCATGAAGACATTTTAGAAAGGGAAAGAAAACTACATTTATGAGATTTTTTATTCCTTGAAAATGAAAACAAGTCGTAATCCTAATATTAGCCGGGCATTCACTGGTAGTGCAATTTCCTATGTTTCATGTACTTTTAGAAATGTTCACTGCTCTCAGTTGAGTATTGAATCTGTAGATAGATTTAAGTTGAGATAGTATTTGTTGCACTATTCTACTTCCACAACATGGATGAATCTTTCACTACAAGGGCACATATGTATAGGATAAAGCATATTTTGTCTAATTCCATTATCTGATTAGTCAAACCTGGAAAATCATCATGACCACATGTCCTTTTTAAAACTTCAACGCTTTACTTAGGTATGTTTCGTCATGAACACTTGAATTCATTTCAATCTTTATGTCAGTTTTAATGTATGGAGTATATAAACATGCATATTTGGTAAGTTTTTTTTAATCAATTTTATGGACTCGAGGAAGAATTCTTAGCAACTTAACCCCCTCCCCCATCTACTGTTTGGGATATCCGTCTTGCCACTTTGGAGTGAGGCTAGTTTCTTACTTCTTTGATAAGAGAAAGTGTGTAGTTATTAGGGTTTTGTCTATTGCTCCATAAACTACATCCGTACATTCATTAGTACGTTATTACTTACAGACAGGCCCACTCAACTACTGCCCCAGATGCAAACTGTTAAACAATTGGTTAATTAAACCTAGCTTAACAATAAAATGCTCACACTATAAACTTTTTTACTATCCGAATATAAGCTACAATATATTTCCTTTACTTTGTATTGGCTTTCAAAGGTACATTTTTATGCTTCCCCTCCCTTTTCTTACCCTTTTGAAAGATACAAATACTTTATTTGAGGAACCTTTTTGTTCTTTACGGTGAAAGGTACAAACACTTTATTTGGGTACCTCACCACTTCACTAAGCGTATCCTGTATCAGCTCATCTAGGCAATTCTCTCGTGGATGGTTATTTTGTTGCGCCATTTTGTCACTAATGTTGTTCAGATTTAGCATCATACTGACGCTTGCCTTTCTTATTGGCAGATCCGGAAAAGCCTTTTCAGTCAGGTTGCTGCATAATGAGCTGGGTTGGACTCTATGGTGGTGCTTCTGTGAAATAATTTATGAGTCTAAAGTTGGTTTTTGGATGCAAATTATATTCCCAAATGTCACGCATTAATAAGTATTACATTCTTTGATTTTCTCTATCTGATAGTCACTATTGTTCTTGCTTTGATTCATAGCTCTATGAGGGAGGTAGGTGCCCCTATCGACTTGATAGTATCTTTGATCTCAATAATATTCCAGCTTGATATTTCTGTTTCCATCCTCAAGTTGGAATGACCTTTTTGATTATTAATATATTCTTGTGTGCACATCATTGAGGCTGTTGACCTTATATGTTATATGTGATTATCTTCTAAAAACAGTTATTTCAGTTAAGATCTATCATTTGCATTCAATTCTTTTTTTGTAGGACTATTATAAAAAATGTCTTGATCCTTATAGGTATGGTTAAGAATGATAGTTTATCTAAATATGGTTATCCTCTTTCTGCTTATGCATTTTCTTGAACAATAGTTATAATAGCTAGTCAGGAAGATGGCCTTTAGATGGCTGGCTTGGGGATTAGATTGTAAGTGATGGAAAAAATGGGAGGAATCTCTACTCTCAACAAGGACACTTTTTGAGGGAATTTCTTTTGGTTGTCATTTAAGGCCAATGCCAAGCTTGAGATTGGGGTCCCTCCAAAAGGAACAAACGAAGGCCTCTAATATACTGAATTCTTTCCTTGTGTAACCCTTGGCTGTACAGCTCTGCCCGACTACTTTTGTAGGGTGATCTGAAAGTATTAACCGCCTTGAAAAAGGTGGAGTTTTCATGGACCATCTCGGCTCGTGTACAATAGAAAAACCCTAGTGCTAGGAGCCAGTAGGGAAGCTTGAATTAGAGGAAAACTACAAAATCTTAAATATCCGGCCTACGTTGTCTTTGCATTCATACAAATCAAGCTGCACTTAGTCATGCGAACTTGGCTTCACTATCTTGCACATCTTCAAATTTTAGGTGATTTTCCCTTGTAACATCAAATATTCTCATGATCCAAATATCTTTTTAGGGGAAAAGTTGAGATTCTCTGGATAGCTTAATTCTTATAAAATATAGGGTGCACTAAATATGCCCAATGACCCTTTTTTTTTTTTGGCAATTCTCATTTTGGTCTTAATTTGTTTAATTCTCAATTAATTATTAGAAAAGGTTAAAATTTGATAACAAAAAGCTTATGGGTCATTTAATTATTGTTTTACTATCAATGTATTTAGACATGGGTATCTCACTGAAAAAAAAAAAAGATTTTGTTGATGGATGAGTTGGATTTTATTGGACATATTGGTTTCAATAAATTTTTTTCGGAGTTCTGTTTTTTCTTTCCTGAAGGGTCCACTCGAATTTTTAACAGATCAAGAATCAAATAAGAATTACCTAAAACATTACAAAGGTATATTTTGCCTAACAGATATGATGTGGGTGTCATGGCTTAAAAGAAATGGACAAATGTTTTAGGAAGATAAAGTGGAAGCTAAGGTTTTTTTTTTTTTTTTTCTCCTACAAATTTATCCAGCATTTTGAAATTATATATGTGAGGATAGGAATTCGAAGCTCCAACATTTAAGAATATAACTAATATTTTGATTAATTAAACTATATTTGTATCGATTTATACACGGTGGGAATTGGAACTCCCAAGAATTTAAAAATATAAGTAATACTTGACTATTTAAATTATATTTTATTAGAGGTTTAAGGTAAAGTGGGCATGTGTGCAGTATATCTTTATTTAAAACCAAAATATCAAATTCTTTTCTGTACAACTTTGTTTTATCGAATTACTCACTTTTGTCATTCATGTGTGTTCAGTAAATTTAACATATCATCATTTAACTAAAGTGTTAATAAAAGAAACTATATAAACTCACACTTGAAAGTTTGAGAAATAATAAACAAATTTAGAGACTAAATAGACAAATACTTGCTCTCTGCATTTTCACTGAAATAATTATTCAGTTTTTAACAATTTAGTCTCTATCATAAAAAAAACTAGTTAATGTTCTTTATATGTGTAGATCGATAAACTAATGAGGGATCAAATGTGTTTATAGATTACAAAAATTAAATTGTTATATAATAAGAATCAACACTTAATTTTGACGATACTTTTTTTCTAGTAGGGATTAAATTGTCCCAATTTTCAAACTATAGAGATTAAATCGTTACATATTAAATTTCAATGACTAAATTGTTATCAATTTAAAAGTACAAAGTCTAAATCATTTGAACTTAGTTTAGTGACTAAATTATTACTTTACCAGACTAAATGTAATTTTTAACCATAAATCAATGTAAATTTTATGGGAATACATAAAATAAAGATATACAGTTATCCCTATATATTAATATAATTTCACAAAAAAAAAGAAAATGTAACATAATGGGCCTAGACTGAGGCCCACATTTAATTAACCGAACCGGTAAAGTTCAGGCCCGGCCCAGAAAGTGGAAGAAGAAACCCCTATCAGTATCTGGCAACTCAACGAACCGCGCCCCGCGCTTCGCTTCTGTTGGATTTGGAGCAGAGTTTTCGCGCCTTTTGTTTGTTTGTTTGAACTAAAAACTTCTACGAACCTCAATCTTATTCTCATTCCATTCATTCAGTTCTGAAGGTTTAAATTTGAATCGAGTTCTTCCCTCTGAAAGTGCTCCGAAGGCGGCAGTAGCCGAGAAGAAGGCGCCATCATCAATCATTCATTAGAGATTAGACTTGAACCAAAAGCAGTCTCAACAATTGGGCAATTCTAACTGGAAGCGATCTTCAGACTGAGAATGATTTTGACTTGACTTGCAGTTTGCAGTCTTGTCGTTAGAGTTGTAGTCTGCAGCAGGTAAGCCCATCAATCTTTGATTTTCGTAGAAGAATACCCATTAGTTTCTCTATATGTAGCCTTTTAAGGTCTAATTAGTTGTATTCTATGAGGTGCATCGTTAAAGGCTGAGACAAACTCATTAGCTTTTGTGGCTAAATGGTAATTTAATTTCTATGAAACCATATAGAACGAGTTTAGTTCGAAACCTTGTTCTGAGAAGCTCTCAAGCTCCAAAGCCAGCCATCAATGGCGATCATGTTATTGATGCCCACATCGTCAAAACTGGGTTCAATGCCAATACATGCCGCTCTAACTTCCAGGTCAACAACTTTCTTCAGAGTGGAGACCTTTTCCACGCACATCAAGTATTTGATCAAATGCCTTGCAAGAACACGATCTCTCTGAATGTGATGATTTCTGGTTTCCTTAAGTTTGGGAACTTATCTAAAGCTAGAGAGTTGTTTGATGGCATGGTTGAACGTACGGCAGTGTCATGGACAATTTTAATTGGTGGATATTTACAATCTAACCAATCTAAAGAAGCATGTAGGCTTTATGCTGATATGAGAAGGGGAGGGACAGAACCAGATTATGTGACTCTAGTGACCTTGTTATCAGGCTGTGGTGAATTGGAAACTAAGAATGTAATTGTTCAAATCCATACCCATGTCATTAAACTAGGATACGAATGCAACCTCACGGTTTGCAACTCCTTGGTTGATGCTTATTGCAAAACCCATTGCTTATATTTAGCTGGCCAGCTCTTCAAGCAAATGTTAAACAAAGACACAGTGACCTTCAACGCATTAATGACAGGTTACTCAAATGAGGGATTGAGTGAAGAAGCGATTAAGCTCTTTGTTGAGCTGCAGAATACTGAAATTAAGCCTTCAGAATTTACGTTTGCAGCTCTCCTCTGTGCTGCTGTTGGTCTAGATGACACAAGTTTTGGAAAACAAGTTCATGGTCTTGTTCTCAAGGTCAACTTTGTGTGGAACGTGTTTGTGGGAAATGCATTACTAGATTACTACTCAAAGCACAACCGAGTGGATGAGGCAAGGAAGCTTTTTGATGAGATGCCGGAGTTGGATGGAGTATCGTATAATGTTGTCATCACAGGCTATGCTTGGAATGGGCAATTCAAAGAATCTTTTGATCTCTTCAGCCAATTACAGTTAGCAAGATTTGACCGGAGACAATTCCCTTTTGCAACACTATTAAGCATAGCTGCAAATAATCTTAATTTGAAAATGGGTCAGCAAATACATTGTCAGGCAATTGCAGTTGGAGCAAATTTTGAACCTGTGGTGGAAAATGCTTTGGTTGATATGTATGCCAAATGTGAGAGATATGAGAAAGCTCAGAAGATATTTGAAAATATTGCCTGCAAAAGTACCGTTCCGTGGACTGCAATGATCTCAGCTTACGTTCAGAAGGGACGACATGAAGAAGGAATAAAGTTATTCAATGATATGCGTAGAACTGGTGTGTCTGCTGATCAGGCAACTTTTGCTAGTATCTTAAGAGCATGTGCAAATCTGGCTTCAATTGGTTTGGGAAAGCAACTGCATTCATTGCTAATTCGATCGGGATTCATGTCCAATGTATATTCCGGAAGCGCATTGCTAGATACATATGCAAAATGTGGTTGCATGACAGATGCGATAAAATCTTTTGGGGAGATGCCTGAGAGGAATTCTGTCTCTTGGAATGCTTTAATCTCAGCTTATGCTCAGAATGGGAATGTTGAAGGCACCCTTGATTCATTTCAGCAGATGACTCAGTCAGGATATAAGCCAGATTCTGTTAGCTTTCTCAGCATTCTGTCAGCTTGCAGTCACTGTGGTTTTGTTGAAGAAGCTCTTTGGCACTTCAACTCCATGACTCAAATTTATGAAGTCACTCCAAAGCGAGAACACTATGCATCGATGGTTGATGTATTGTGTCGAAGTGGAAGATTTAATGAAGCTGAGAAGTTGATGGCCCAAATGCCATTTGAGCCTGATGAGATTATGTGGTCGTCAGTATTAAACTCATGCAGAATTCATAAGAATCATGAGTTGGCTAAGAAAGCAGCGGATCAGCTTTTTAATATGGAAGAGCTTCGAGATGCTGGTCCTTATATCAACATGTCTAACATTTATGCTGTAGCTGGTCAGTGGGATAATGTTGCAAAGGTCAAGAAGGCGATGAGGGACCGAGGGGTTAGAAAGGTCCCAGCCTACAGTTGGGTTGAAATCAAACATCAGACTCATGTATTCTCGGCAAATGATAAATCCCATCCCCAGATGAAGAATATTTTGAGAAAGATTGATGCATTGGCGAAGCAGATGGAGAAGAAAGGATATAAGCCAGACACGAGTTGTGCCCTACACGATGTGGATGAGGATGTTAAGATTGAGTCTCTTAAATACCACAGTGAACGCTTAGCAATTGCATTTGCTCTAATCAACACACCAGATGGGTGGCCAATAGTGGTAATGAAAAACTTGAGAGCTTGTACAGACTGTCATGCTGCAATCAAGGTGATCTCAAAGATTGTTGGAAGGGAAATTACTGTTAGAGATTCAAGTAGGTTTCATCATTTTAAAGATGGCACTTGCTCCTGTGGGGACTATTGGTGAACCACAGAATCTCTATATGAGCAGTCTAGATAGTCATCAAAACAATCAATGCACGCAATCATATTACCGAGATAAACTTAGAATTGCTTGTCCATGGTAAGTGTTGTTTTCTTATGCTTTGTTATTGACATTGGTTGAGATGAAAGCAATAAGTTTGTAAGATGGAAATAATACCAATCAACTGATTCGTCATATAAAGTTAAGGTTTTGGTTAATTTCATTTTTCTAGCAATTCTACAAAGCAGATCAAAATAGCCTGTGTCATGACTCCTTCCTCAAAGCTTGTTCTGCATCTTGTCCAAATAAGAATTTAGCAAGGAACTCGAAGCATTGTGCATGACATAATTCTTCTATTTTTTTCCCTTCTTATTACCTATATGATTTTGCTTGCTTGCCATGAACCTGATTCTTGTTTCATGAAAAAAAGGAACAATTTCCTTTCTCTATATATGTCTTTATCTTTTAAGGTGGTTCACTATTAACGAGTTTTCGGGATTCCATTATCATAATATTTGTATTTTTAATGTTTTGAAAAGTTTTCTTTGTGCAGTTGAAGCATATAATATCAATTACAGACAATTCTTTGCACATTGTGCCTTAAATCCATTTGTTTGAGGCATAGAAAATTAGAAATGGGAAAGTACAATTCTTGTTCTGCCATTATTTTTCAGACAATTCTTCATTGAATACCAAACGCATGACTAAGCCAAGTCAATATGTTTGCAATTTTAGGTATCTTTTCTTTTTTCCCCCTCCACATTTGCGTGGTACTTGATAATGGTATTCAGAATTCAACTTAGTGTAGTTGCGTGATGGTACTGCATTTGATAATGGTACTAACCATTTCCTTTTCTTACATTGCTGTCCTTTCAGTTACTTCTATCTCTCGTGGCTCGTGAAGTACTTGGTTGTCTATTGTGATAGCACAATATGCTTACTGTTTTAGGAGCCCAAGATAGAAAGAGTGCCGAATGAGTTACAAAAGTGGAATGAATCCCAAAGGGGAACACTTTCCCTCTTTCAAGTGGTGTTATTCAATCTTCCCACTTGTTATGTTCCAGCCTTTAAAGCCCTGTTGAAGTGACTAAGTTCATTGAGAAGATCTTGAGGGAATTTCTTTTGTGAAGGTCCTTAAATGGAAGGTAGTTGTCATTTAGTGAATTGGAAGGTGGTACTCTTCCTATTCTCTTGGTGGGTCTTGGAATCAGTAACATTGCTAGGAGGTCGATGCCAGACGAAATTATTGCAGTGGTTTTCATTGGAAGGCAACACATTTTAGCTTAAGATTATCTGTAGTAATTATGGCAAAGATCCCTTCAGGTGGTTCGTGTCTTAATGTTATTATGGCAACTGTAAAAGCCTGTGGATTAATATAGCTAAATACACAGAGTTGGTTAAAGGAGAGGCTGATATATAAAAGGGGTAATGGTTCCAGGGTGAGGTTTTCAACTTTTCAGAGGACCCCTTTGGTGGAGAAGACTCCTATACCCGTGTATCCCATCTATCAATGCAATTGCTAAAAGTAAAAATAGAAGAACAGAAGAATGCTGGAGCAAGGGGAATACTTTTGGAATTTTGAGCTCAGGAGTTATTTTGGCAATTGGAAATTGATGAATGGAAAGTCTGCTTGCAAAATATGCATGATATTAAGCCTAATGCGCACCCAGATATGAGATTAAGATCACCTGCATAAGCTTTCAATTCTGTAGTTTAGCCAAAAAAGGCTGTTTCATGGCCCCTTCTGCACATCTGGATTCTGTCTCAGATCAACTTAATAAGAAAACGAGGTATCACGTTATGAGATATGATGTTTATTATCCTGAAGTTCTTTCATATGCTTGTAGGTTTTCCTTGGTTCGGTTCAGGGACTTATTAATGCTTCAAACTATAATGAATTTATGCTGAAGACGTGCGGACTTGCCAAATTTCTGGTGTCAGCGTGCCACTTGCCGCTGCTCCTGCATGGGTTTTCAGACATACTCTTTATGAAAAAAGTAACCCAAATTGAAGTAAAACTCTCTATTGAGATCAGCCTGGGAGATTTACTGTTGATTGCGTAGTATTAGCTGCTACGTTGACAGACCAATTATTAATTAAATATTTGTTGTGGTTGTCCTGACTTATTCATAGATTGGTGCGATGGGGTTAAAATAATTTTGTTTCCACTATGACCATTTGCTATTTTAAATTCTTTTTTCATCTTGTTGAAGATTATTGGCTAAAAAGTTGTGGCAAATTCCATTACTTGCTGCTTTAATTAGACATGCATACACATGGAAAATATCAGTACCCTCTCGTACTTGCTAATAAATTTCTGAAATTGACATGACAGGTCCACTTCAGAAGCTCACACCAGAACTTACAGGTTGTATTTCTTTACATCTTCATCTGTCTTCATCTGCTTGAATTTTACCATCGTTTTAATAAGATCATCTCTTAAAAGATTCTAAAACCTCTGCTGCAAGAAACCAAACCAACTTGTGTTTCCCCATTCAACCATTTTTTTCAAGACCTCCACTTTACTGTTCTGTTGTTTAGGAAATCTGACGTCGTTTTTGCTTGTTTCTGGCGACAAAAAAAAAAAAAAAGGAAAAACTTTGAATTCTTGAAATATTGAAGCAGCACATAACTTGAATGTGGAAGTTGGAAGGGGCAGGAAACTTCTCACCCGTAGAAGGATTCTTTTTCTTCTTTTTTTAAATATCTTTTTCCTTTGGAAAATAGTTTTTGGATTATTTGTGTTTTCTTAGGTCTTCTACTAGTAGACAAAAAGAATCTTATACCCGTAGCTCACCATGAGAGGATGAGTTGTGTTGCCAATCTTGGAATTATTTCTCTCCCCCATAAAAAACATAGTTTTTTTTTTGTCTCGTTTTTTTAAATTTCAAATGTTGGTCAGCCATCCCATTACAACAAACGCCATTCTTTAGGAGAAAACACATCCAATCAAAATCTAATTAATTATACCGCCATGGCTATTGAAGAAGACGAGGGAATCTCTCTCTCTCAAAATAACATTTAATAAAAATCTGAAACCAAGAAAGTCGTGGAGATTCGAGGATTTAGGAAGATATTAAAATGACTAATGGGGTGGTATCGAGTTCATATGCCCAAAAGATGCCCTCACATGAAGGTCCCCCTCTCTCTCTCTCCCCTATTTTTCTCCTTCTCTCTGCCATTTGCCGGTTGAATTGGACGCCAAAGAACCACTTTGCCTGTTGTAATGGATGCCTGCGTTGGTCATTATCTCTGATAATTATATAGGAATTCGATATTGTCTCATTTGCCCCATAGTTTGGCCTTAGCTTCTTCTGGCTTTTGACATAGAGACAGCTAAAATATCCCCCAAAAAAACAATAATAATGAAGACAGTCGTTGCCAAATGCCATCTTTTTCCTTCTCCCCCAGCCCCATGATTATCTCGAAACTTGAGTTTTGGTAGAATTACAGAAGCAGGGCACACAAAAAGTGGAAACTCAAATCGCATTGAAAAGGTGGAAAATTTAAAAAGACATCTTTCTTTTTTTCTTTCTCTCTTTCTTTCTTAATCTCTAAGGAAGATTAGTAGTAGATGAAATTTGCCCTTTTTCTTCTCTTTTTGACTCATTTTTGTTTGTTAACCAGAGTCAGAGCATCAAAAGCAAAAGATCTTCATTTCAGCCAATGAAGATGGGTCACAGAGTCAAACCCCTCTCACGTGAGCTACAGAAGAATATGAAGGAAGGCCAAAGCCATAGCCACTGCCACTGCCACTGCTCTCTTCCTGATCCATACTTTCCGTACCATTTGAAGAGACTTCAGTGACTCCACTTGAACACGAAGAACAAGGCTGAGGAAATTCCCACCCATCATCCTCCACCGTCAAATCCAATACACTTGCCTGCGCCACTGCCAATCTCTGCTTCTCTTCCACCCCTTGCTTTTTAGGCCTTCTCCTCTTCTGAAACAGACAGTACACAGCCCAATCCCCCTTTTCAATCTGCTTTTCAGGTTCAGAAAAAACCAAAACCAAACCCCACAGTAAAAACGAATCAGTTCTAGAGACACAGAAAAAAGAAAAGGGCAGTCGTTGTAATTTATTACAAGTTGCTGGTCAATTTTGTCTGTACCTGGGTTGAGTTGGGAGTTGTTCCAGAGCGAGCGAGCCGATATTCATGCATGACCCACCGAGCCGGTCTCGTTCTCTCTGAAACTTTAGACTCAGAAAAAACCAGAGATTTCTTCAGCCCAAGCAAGTGGTTAGTTCCCTGGCTCAAAATGAACTTCTCTTTGCCAATGGACTTCCAAATCCCAGTCCCAGCACTCCTCTTCAAGAAACTCTTCTGTTTGGTAAAAAAGAATCTCTTTTCTTTCAAATCCCCTAGAACCCAACAAACACATAATCCAACAATCAATTCATACAACACTTAACCACAGAAAATTGAAACTTGGAAGTTAGCAGTTACCAGGCAAGGCCCATGGATCTGTGAGGAAGACATCAAAGTGAGGAATGACAGAAGCAGGCAGCGGGAGATGAAAGACCTTCCTCTTCAAGTAGTGTTGGAGCAGTTCTTCATCGGTGGGGCAAAATCGGTACCCAACAGGTAATCTGATGCCTCCATTGGTGTTGTCCATTGCAGGGATCTGTCTGAAGGTCTCAAAGAGCAGAAATGGAGACCAAAGAACCCATCTGGGAATTGGTTTATAATATATATAATGTTATCTGCAGGAGGAAGGAGGAGCAAGAAGAAGAAGAAGAAGAAGAGAGAGAAATGAAGAAGGGTTGTGTTGTGGGTATGGAAGGAAGGATGTTTGGTTGCGTTTTATGGAATGTAAGAAATTGGAAAGCCGAGTGAGTCCTGTCCGACTAGAATTCTGAATCAGAAAAAAACTTATTTTTAATTTTTGTTGTTGGTTTTTTGACTTTTTGAAAACGGAATTCCTTTGTGTTTGAGTTTGCGTTTGACGGCGTCGTTGCGTTCACAACCGCGTGACAGTGACTGTGACTAACAGAACAGAGCCTAAAAAGGCCTTTCTTTGTTGTTATGATCAACACCAACACGCTAACCTAGGTTCTGCCTTTTACTTTGTTTCTTTTCCCCCCTAATTGTCATTAATTTCTTATTTTTATTTCTTTAATTTAATCCTTCATCTTTCAAAATTTTCAAGTTTTAATTCCTATACTTTTGATTTTAATTTTGATATTTTTAAATGGTGAAGTTCGTGTCGATTTTAAATTTGGTCATTTTAATCTCTATACTTTTAAAACGTCTATTTTAGTCTCTATATTTTTAAAATCCGGCTATTTTGATTCTTTAATTTTTATTTTAGACATAATTTTAACATGATACTAATACTTACAAAATTTCTTAAAATGCAGTCTTAAATTTGTATTGTAGTGTTTTTTTTTATTTTGTAAATAAAGATTAAATTAGTAATTTTTTTATTAGTATAGGAAAAAAAAAGAACATTTTGAAAATACAAACTAAAATGAACAAAATAAGTATTTGTGAAAATACGTGGACCAAAAATAAACTAAAGTCTAAAGAGATAAATATAATATTTAAACTAAAATTTTAATATCATCTTTTGTGTATTCAATTTTTTTTTTCCAGTCAAGTACTTGCTTTCTAACAATGTTAAAATTTCACTTACTCGTAAAACAAAAAACCTACTTATTTTACTAGTAACTTATTTGATGTAAAATTGCTTGCTATAGAAAATTGATTTACTAAAAATTAAAATTGGGATGAAATTGAAAAAACATTTAAATATTAAAGACCAAATTATATACTTACTCGAAATTTAAGATTATTTTACTTCTCAAAATTTTAAAATATCTATTTTCCACTCACTCAAAATTCATCTTAACCAATGTCTTCCATACATAACTTTGTCATCATATTAAGATATGTATTTCAAAACCATGTTATCCATCACTTAAACAACTAACAAGAAAAATAAAGGCAATTACTCAGAATGGTTATTTTTTACCAAAATTAAATAATCCTAAAAAAAGATTCAAACTAATATTTTTCTTTATTAAACTTTTTTTTTTTTTAAGTTTTATGGGTTAAATTACAAATTTGGTCTCAATAATCTAGGCATAGTTTCAATTTGATCCTCACCATTTTAAAATTTTCAATTTAGTTCTTATAATTTAAGCTTAATTTCAATTTGGTCCTTATGATTTTAAAAGTTTCGATATAGTCTTTATAATTTAGTTAAATCTCACAAATTGTTCATAAACTATATTTTTCTACTTGAAAAACTTACTTATTTCCAAAGTATAGAAATCATTAACTCATTGTCATGGAAAAAATGCGTTAGTATGACAATGGTAAGGTTGATTTGTGATGCTTATAAAGTAATAAGAATTAAATTGAAACTAAGCTCAAACTATAGGTACTAAATTGAAACTTTTTAAACTATAAAATCAAATTTAAAATGTGCCTAGACGGTAAGGACGAAATTTATAATTTAACCGATTTCACGTGTCTTAAAAAGTAACCATATAACTTTGGAAGCATTCAACCAATAAAGTTAAAATATGGTTTAAATTATTGAATGTGAACTTAATTCTCAGCATTTGTACTATTTTTATATAGGAAAAATGGAATAACTTTTATTCCAAAGAGGCTTGTTCATTTTCTTAAGCTCTAATTTTATATAACTATGAATGGGGAATGGAGAATGAGAATCCTTTTTTTTTTTCTCATCTCAATGTGCATCACAATTAGGTTTTTTTTCCCTTTTTCTTTTTCAATTAAGATTCTAAAATTGAACAAAACATAAGAACATTCATTCTCATCCTTCCATTTTCACTCGGAATAAATTTTATTCTAATTCCTTCTTATTCCAAAGTGTACAACATGCAGAAAAAATAACCTAATTTTTTTTATTATTCACTGTGGGAGAATTCAAACAGACCTTTATAAAAAAAAATTAATATATAATTTTTTTTGACAAATCTTATTGTTAATAGAGTCAATCTAATCATAGTTTAATTGGCTAAAATATAGAGGTCAGATATTCAAATCTCCATCCGACCTATTGTTGATAAATTAAAAGAAAAATCTTATCCTATAATTTTTTACTTGTAAAAATTTTATTCTTATTCATACTCTTGCCAAGTGGAGGTGTGTATGGGATAAAATTAAAAATGTTAAAAGATTAAGAATCAAATTTTGAGTTATTTAAAAGATTGGAAACTACTTCGTATATTTTACCTTATTGAATTCACATATATCCAAATTTGCCTATTAAGCTAGAAAGGAAAAATAAAAAATAAGAAATTGCTTATCAAATGGGTCTATTACGAAACAAGGTGCATCTACCAACAGAGTATTATCGTAAATATTTTGATAAATTCAACAATTGAGAATGCGAGAGGGGAGATTGAATCTCCAATTTTTAAAAAAGGTAGCCTAGCGGACTTTCTATCAGCTAACTAGTTACTACATAAGTTGGCGTCGAACTTTCTCCGCCAGCTTATCACCTATCAAAGAAGTTTTAGATCTAGACGCCTAGCATGATGCAGTCTACGGATTGTGAACTTATTTTCTCACATATGTTAAAATTAAAATATTAAAGAATAGAATAATTATTTTCTTCGTATAATTATTAAAATATGTCTTTTTCATTTTTCCTCCCTAACTAAGTCTTCCATCTCTTTTTTTTTTTCTCTCCATCTTTCTGTTTATTTTGCTTATTGAGAAATGTGTTAGAAAAATAGATTCTTTGTCTTTAGCCAAAAACAAAAAATAACTACAAAACTAAGATCATGTATATTCTATTTTTTAGAATCAAAATATAATTTGAAATAAGAATTTACCTTTTAATTAAATATTTGTCATTTGTTACATGAACGTCATACTTTGAATGAGTAATTTTCGCTGTTTGATCAAATTAATAGACTAACGTAATGTACAATATATATTGGATAATATAAATTTATATTTATAAGGTTAATTCTAGAATTTCCATAATCCCTATAAGAATAATATGCATGTATCTATTCAATCGGTAATTTTTTTTTTATGTTGTTCATGAACTCATAATTTTAGATCACTTGATATGTCCCTTAAACGATATTAATTAACATTATTGTACTTTACATGATTTTTGGATATTGCTTTAACTAAATTAATTCCAACAAAAAATAAATAATATCTATGGGCAATCGAACAAAGAAGGAAGGGAGACCATGTTCCCCTTTAATTTTTCTTAAACTAAAAATGACGTATACGAAAGAATTAAGAATGGAAGAATTACCTTATGTTGGCAACATTTTAGTGAAGTTAAGAATAGGTTGAGTAGTTAAATATGTTAGCTTTTTAGAATTTAAGGATATCATGAAGTAAAAATGTAAAAGTTTAACCGTCCTAAAGAAAACTTTCAACTTTGCGTTTGTTCACACATTCGACATTTGATTCCTTTAGGAATAAGAGGTTATGATTTAAATTAAATTAGAGAAAACTTAAAGTAGATAACAATATGAGAAATTTAGATCATAAATATCAAAACCATGATGTTAAAAAATATTTAATTGGAATTCATGGAAAAGGTAGGTTAACCTAAACTATATGGCTAAGTCTCCAAATGAAAGAGTTTTTCAACTTTGGAAGAATCTTAATGCAATCCTTAGTTTGGTTATAATGATAAGTAAATCCTATTTGTAATAATAATCTTAAATGTTTTAGAACTACAAGTCACTTAATCAACACTCAACATTGTTGTTGATTTTGTTCATATGATTCACAAACCCTTTTTATGCAACAAAGTAGATTTTACCATTATTGCTAATATTAGATTACTATGTTAAGACATTTCTTAATTTCCAAGTTCTTTCTTCTCCTCTAAAAAAATGGTTAATTAGTTTATTCATTTTCAAGAACATTTATGACTTTATTAACATCAATAGGAATTTATGATAAATGGTATAATTTAATATTATATTTACATAAATATTGAATTAATTCTTTGGCTTTCTATCACTATAACCAACGCTCTTTAATTATTGAGTTCTATTAATTCAAGTATAATAACTCAATAAATAGTAAAGCGCCTATTACTATTGTAAAGGTCGATGGTTCAATTTCAATTTCTACAGAAAAAATAATTATTGAGTTCTATTTGATAAAACATTAATATTCAAATGAATATCATTTTAAGCCAATAYGAGCCTATCTCAACAGCCTCTGAAATCGAATATTAAAATGTACGGACCCGTTCTGTGTAATGGGCCGGCCCAAATGACCAATGAGGCTTTCTAATACAGATACAGATACAGATACAGAAGGTAAAAACTCCCGATCGGAGTAATCTGCTTTCTTTCTTCCTTTATTTAAATTTTAGACTTCTTCCAACTGTGACAAATAAGAACTTCTTGCGGGGCTTAAAAATGGTGTTTTTAATTAGGTTGGAAGAGGGAGAGAGAGATGAGAGGAGTCTAGGGAAGATGAGTTCTCTTCTCTCTTTTTTCAATAATAAGGGTCAGGATGATAGAGCAAAGATTATTTTATTTGACTTGTTGTGAATACGTTACCAAATAGAGTAAAAATATATATTATGTATTGTTGATGCAGGATTCTGTTGAGCTATTAAAGGTCGGCCGCGTGGTAATTAACAATCTAATACGTCATTTAGGGTTGATTTCTAACGGAAATTACACTCTTGTGCAGAAAAATTCTGATTGCCAAACGCACGTTTTGGTGTGATTTGAAGCTATGAAGGTTGTCAATTCAACAACTAACCAACCAAAACGTGTTTGAAATGGATGGCTCTCCACAAAATTCTCAACTTCCTAACCACCTTGAAGTCCCTATAAACTCAGCAGCTCATTCTTTTCATTGAGCGGAGTGATCATTTTTCTTTAGACATTCCTTCTCAGCTTATTTACGTTTTCTCTTTTAGTCTTTGAGTTGTTATTGTTTTAAACCTTGCTTATTTCTAGTTCACCCTTTAATTCTAATTTGTTAGTCTTGAATTGTAAGCTTTAATTTTGTTTAATTAAAATTTCAGCAAGTTCTTTGTTACTCATATCTCTCTCTTCCTCATTACGAAGTTGGAATCACTCAACCTTGAGGAATCGACCGAGTACTGCTATCTCGAAAGAGAACGGGTTAGGGTTATCCGGGTTACAACTCCACCATTTCCAGCTTGTTTTAATTCTACTATCTTTTAATCATGTTTTTTACTTCCATTGACGTTCAATTCTGTTTTTCCTTTATTAGCATGAGCTAAACCCGGTTATGAATAGTTAGTTAAAGTTTTTAAAATCCAACAAGGCAAAAGGCGTTTTTCTCGTCTTTTATCACTTCAAGTTGTTTCCATAAGTTAAAACTTAATTTGGCCAATGAATGTTTTAACCCAGCATCAATACTGAAAGAGTTGATACTTTTTCACAACTTTACTGATTTAACTTTAGAGAGAAATACTTTAGACATAAAGATTTCGCTCAGTAGCCTAGACATAGGACCTCGACCTAAGGTTACGGTTGGTTTTTATTAAATTAAGTTTTTTTTTTTAATAGACATATTATAAATGGACTTAAACCTTCAAAATTACTTAGACATAAGAAGATGACGAAGTAAAATTGAATAAAATTTATGAGAGGCCTCTGGCGCCTAGTTGAAAAAAGTTTGTGTACTTTTAGCTAATCTGAAGTAACTAGGCTGAGTTTATTGCATTGAGTTTTTAAATATGAAAACCAACATTATCCTTATTATTTGTCACCCCAAATTCAATTACAAAGTCACCAATCATTAACATTTCCTATAAAAATACTTCATTTGTCCCTGAGGATCAATACTCGRAATACTCGTTCTGTTCACTACTTGTGACGGGTGTGCACTTGCGCTCTCATTTATTTTGCACCAAAATCCCAAATAATCAGTTTAGTATAATACGAAACGATTATTATAGAACAACTAATGTGAATTCATTAGTTTACACTATACACTAATTAATTGACATATTTTTGTCGACCTTAGTTCAATTGGTTAAGAAAGACATCAATCTTCAACCAAAAGTTGTGAGTTCAAATTCCTACTCCACCTTTTGTACTAAAAATAATTGATATATTTTTAGCCACTTGAAAGATAATTAAAGAAAATTCCAAGGAAAAATTAAGTGAAACTTTTTAAACACTAATCAACTGTAACTGTTAAAAAAATATGTAAATCTACATTTAGGTACTAAAAAGAAAAAGAAACATATATTTAATCTAAAACTTTAATCAATAAATAAATATTTTGATGTAAACTATCTAAAAAATTGGAAACACCTACCCCTCCAATGATTAATTACTTTTTTCATCGTTCTAGTTCAAACATCTATTTTGATTCTTATACTTTACCAATTTAATCTTTATTGGTAAAACTTTAACTATACTATACAAAAATCTTTGATATGAATTGATGAATACATCTCAAAAGAATTAGTAAATAAAATTTTGAACTTGAAATAAATGAGATAAAATAAAAAAGATGAATGGACCTCATTTCTCAAATACACGAGTTAAAATGAACGACTAAAATAAATATTTTAAAACCACTTTATTTAAGAAGTCTTGGAGTTTTTTTTT